ACAGCCACAAAGTACATATTTTTCTTGCCCAGCTATTTGTAAAACATTTTTTTTAATTTCTTAATTAGTCGCAGACCAGAGATACTCTGGTATTTTCCTTTCCTCTCCATTCTCTCGCTTGAGTTCCATTCCGTCTTCATTTTCCTTACAGTTCTGTTAAGTTCCCATGCCCTTGGGGAGGTAATTAATTTTACTCAGCTGGAGTCAGCAAGTGTGCTAATGTGATACAGGAGGTGTCCTCCAGGCACTTGGGTTAAAGTCTCAGTCTCTCCCTCCTCGCTGGCCTATTTAGTGTTCTATCTCACTTCCAATCTGAAGCTCTCTCTGCCTTGCTGTTAATGTTTGCAGCAGGCTGGCCTCTGAGGTATGATTAATGGAAAAAAATGACTTTCAGCAGATTATTTTTTTTTACTTTAAATTAAATCTCAAGCCAGACTGCCTTTCAAAAAGAAATGTGCTTGTTTTGGATGTTTAAAGAGTGTGTCTGCTGCTCCCCCTTGCAATTTTCCCTTCAATGGTGGGAGAATGAAATCTACACAGAGCTAAAGAGCTGGGAGTATTCACTGGAACAGAGGGGTTTGAGGGCTTTCTGAAAAGCTTTCAAAGTTAGGAGGTTTTGTTCAGGATAAATGGTATAAGATTATCGGCACCAAGTCAGCAACAGGATGGAAGAAATCCAGGATTATCACTTGCAAAATTTAAAGGAGATTCGATAAATACATGAAGAAAAATAATATTGAGGGTGTGTGGGAAAGAGCAGGGAATGGGATTAGAGTAGAGAGCTCCAGTGGGGAGTGAGCACCAGCACAGACACAATGGCTTGAATGATGTCCGAGTGTACCTATGAAGGCTCTAGGAGGACATGATGTGCTACCCAGACTGTGATGTTAGCCCTGATGGTAATTCCTCAGGCTGGGCTGATGATCTCTCAACACAAACACCCTGACAAGCTTCAGTACTAGGAACATGTTAGCAGGAGAAGAAAATTGGTTTTAATTGGATTTAGGAGACAAAAGGGAACTTACTTCTGTCTGATTCCCTGTTTTTCTCTTATTTTTTTCACATTAAATCCCAGGAATATTCCCATTTTCTAGATTTCTTTCCTGGTCTGGCTGATGATTTTGAGGAGAGAAACCTGGCTTAGACTGTTGGCTGTTCAAAGAGATCTGATGCTCAGTTTAGACTTGGTGCAGCCAACCTGACCACATCCAGACATTAAACCCCATGGGGTGGGGGGGCTGTCAAAGGATTTCTCCACATTACATCACTTATCCTGATGGATTTAGTGCGTGGGCAAGTGCGGCTAATGAAAGCGATTGACCGTTTGGGAAGGGAAGTTATATCTCTAATATTAATGTTTAATCTGCTCAGATAAACCGGTGTCGTATTTGGAAATACAACTCTGGTTTGTTCAAGGTTAAACATTGGCCCAGGGCTTGTGCTCTCAGCAGCTGTATAGCTGACCGAGAGTGTTGTAACTTTCTATAAATCCTTAGACATTTATAATAATCTTTGCATTTTATATATTGTTGGGTTTTTTTTTCTTGAGGGATTATTATCAGGCGTATGGAGTAAGGAAACTTGCCCAAAGTTTCGCCCTGACGGGAATCAAACCAGGTCTTTTGAGGTTTGTCGTTACACAATGCATCCAAGCTAGGTGTCTCTTTATAGGGACCACATTTTATGTCAACATAGATTCAGTTTCAAAGAATGCAGTTGATTTTAAAATCTTTTGTTTCTATTGAAGCTTGTAAACTTATTTGGGAGAAACAGAGTCTCAGTGATGTAATCATGAGAACTGAAGTACAGATTCTTAATGGTGCCCTGTGGCACTGACTGTATCTCTACTGCGGTCACTCCAGCTCCTTCACTCTTGTCAAACTCAGTGAACCCTTCCACTGGCAATATAAATAGGATTTAATAATAATAAAAATCCTTGCATCTGATATAGCGCCTTATCACATCGTCAAAATGTCTCAAAGCGCTTCACAGAATGTATTGTAAAGTGGAATGACTGTATATTTTGCGGGCGAAATGCAGCAGGTCCTCTCACATGCGAGGCGAGCCTGCTAACCATTACACTACGGGACTCCACACCCTCCCACCGGCTGTACAAATGGGATGTTAAGCATTTGTGGTGAAATGGTGGAGCCAATAATCTCGACATGTTTATATATGTTTATGATTCTACAGTAAATTGATTATTTTACTAGCTTAATGAAGTCTATGTGTTGGCAGTGCGATGGGCTGGTGTGTCAGGCGTAATGCCATGAGAGTAGCTGTTTTATTAGTTGGCTTCAGTTTGTTCCAAAACTAACAGTGCGATGGTGGAATATGTGACCCCCAGTTTGCCCAGACACGCGCCTGCTCTTTTTCCAGGACCTCAGGGCTCACTTCACCAACTTCTTCAAGTGTTCCTACAGCATCAGAAACAGTCTCACCTTCCCCTTCCCCAAATGCCCAGGTAAACAGCGCCCTCCAGTGGGGAACAGGAAACCTACATCACACGGCTTCTGAAGACCAGCCTTGGAATGAATCCCATCCTGGAATGGTGCGTCTGAGAATGTTTGACACAGCATTATTATTATTATCTGTGTCATGCTGGATGCTGTCAAGCAGGCTACAGACTTCAGCTGGGAATACAGTGAACATCATGATGCTTCACCTTGTACCTCAGCTTACTAACTGCTGAGATATTGCTGCCAATGCCATGTAAAGTGGATTGGCCAAGCCCATAGAAAGCCAGGGTTGGTTTTGTCAGCATTGAGCCAAAGCTACTAACCTTCTAGTCAGAGTCATACTTAAGGGATGTTTGAGGACCATCTCAGAGTTGTTGCAGCACAGAGAATAAGAGGAAGGATTGCCTGTACAATCCCCTGTAGAGAGAGAATCATTCCAAAAGGTGCAGTTGCCAAGTGAAGGCCAGGTACACTCTCACAGAGAGGCGAAACTACAAGCTGTCAGAAGATTGTAGGTTCCCATTACGGGAATTTTGAGCTCATAGTCTAGGCTGGCAGTGCGATGTTGGGGGGGGCGAGGTGAGTGCTGTGTTGTTGGAGGTGTAGTCCTTTGTCTGAGACATTATTGGAACACCAGTTGCAATATTTTCCTACTACAAGTGCATATTTTCATTGTCTCTCCTCAAAGAAATGTTCCTGTGAAACCTACACAACATTGTTTAACGTGAGGAAGAATTGCAAGATCTTTCTTCGAAGGAGTTCAGAAAATCAGCTGGACAGTATCTGCTTGGGAGCAGTTTTGGGGGAAGAAAAGCCAACAGGAAATTTGTGATAAACTTGGCTTTGATATTTTTAGCCTGTTGAAATCCCCCCCCCCCCATAAACCATATGGAGTCCTGTAGCGCAGTAGTTAGAGCACACGCCTTGCGAGCGAGTAAAGTCAATTCACTTTACAGCATATTCTGTGAAGCGTTTTGAGACATCCAGAAGACGTGAAAAGCACTATATCAAATGCAAGTATTATTATTGTTATTATTATTGTTGTTATTGTTATTATTATATACTTGTTAGAGCAGGTTGCTTTGTGCCAGGGCAGCAGGAACAAGACAGAAATTCTGGAATTTTATCTGACGCAAACAGACTGCTGTGACATACACATGGAACTTGTGCGCAGACAGTCACATACTTTGCAGCTTTTGAAATATTATTTTTCACCCCCTCTGATCTTAACTACTTATGTAGAAATTCCTGCATATAAATTGAGGTTCTGGAGTGTAACAAAAAGACTAAAATATGCTAATAAAATATCACAAAGAGATTCAGTTGCCAAAAAAACAGTTGGTTCGCCTCAGTTTGGTTGAGTTCTCTCCACCCTGAGCGAGTGAATGTGAGCAAGATCGGTTTCCCCGCTCCAGCTCATCTCTGACTGGAACAGAATGAAATCAGGAGCTAGGTCATTGACTTAATAGGAACTGATTTTATTTGCACAATCTCTCAGACCATTGGCAGCTTTTGCTGTGAAACTTGTTTGCTGACTGTAGGAATGTAGTGCGATGTTGCAATGTGACCACTTGCCCTCTGTAATATTAGCTCTTCCTCCTGACTCTGTGTCTCGCTTACTCCAGTAATGTCTTTCCGAAAAGCACAATATCAGAGCCTGAAAGCAGGAGCCTAGAGTGAAACTCACAGCCCCCCAAAACACATAGCCATTGTCCCATGACTCAGCTATTCACTTCTGGTGGCCTTGTGTCAAGGCTAGTGAAATTTGATTGAAAATATTTGGAATGAAATTCTGATTCAAAGGGAAAACCAAAGTGGATCAGATTTTGACAGATCCATGAAATAAGTTACTGGGTGAAAGTGTCTGAATCAGTCTTATTGCTCCATTAGCGCTTACACTAATACAAGTTACACGTGTATTGTGCCTTTAACGTCGGACTGTTACAGCAGAGGCTAATCTCACATTGGCTTATTTACTGCTAACGTGCATCTCATGGAGTTAATGGCCCGAGTGGTAATGAGTTACTAACTCTGTCCACCAGGTTAGTGAAGGACTTGATGTTTTCCTTCAGCTGCAGTGAGTAATCCTTTGGGTGGCACGTGGCAATCCTTGCCCTTAGTACATGAACATCCATCCCTGGCTGGCTACCTTCCCTCCCTCCAGCCATCCTTTGGAGCTCTTCCTGTTGTTTGTCGCACCCTTCTTCATTTTTTATACATTACTTTGGACGAGCGAATGCCCTCTGCCTGGATGGAGGCAAAACTATTTAAACCCTGAGTGAAGGCTACTGTATAAATGCAAGTTGTTGTTGTGATTTTCATCATTAAAGCCAGCCAGTACTGGTACGTCCTTTGGGACGTCATTTGGGGTGAAGGGCGCTATACAAATGTAAATCTGTATTGTGTTACTTTTTATTCAATGTCCTCCCCAGAAAGAGGCAGCTTGTGGCCTCTAGAATTAGGCTTATGTTGTCGAGGACTTTGGCATCCTCTTATTGTCAGCTGAAAACTAAGAGCTGTGAACAAAGGCCAAGTGGGTCATTTTCAATTGCAAAGCCATTTAATTTACATTATTATATCTTATCTTCTGCCCAGTGGCTTAGCTTAGTGCCGGCAGCGAATGAATGTGTGAAAAGCAGAGGGTGTTGTGGTTCAATCGCCTTTCCCGCTGCATTTATTGATCTTCACCATGCGGCAGCATCCTAGGCACCTGGAGAGGATTCAGACTGGCCTGCGGGGGAAATGGCAAGAAACAGACGAGGCTTCACTATAGGAGGCGGCACTGTCACTGTCAGCTAAGAGAGACATTGGTGGTGGTTTGAGAGCAACTGCCTCCCCTCGGCCTCCCAATACACACATTCCAGGGAGAGGGAGAGCAAAGTAACAAAGAGAAATAGGAAACAGTGGGTGCCCTGCCTTCACCAGTGTGTGAGTACCTCCAGAAAGAAAAATTTTCCAGACATTAACTGAACATAATTACTGCAATGGAGGCTTTTGTCCCTATTTTCAATCCACCCCCTTGCACAGTTTCCCCGTGAAATCCATTGAGATGTTATGCTGTTGTTCACATTGTTTTATTGAAAGGCAATGTCTGTGGTGATATTATAAACATTCTGTAAATATGGCCACAAACGAAAGGGCTATTTGGCCCATCAGACATGTCCCTACATAGACCATGCTTACTTTGCCCAATCACAGACTCCACCCAACCCATTCGCTCTCCTGAGCGAGGCAAGTAACTGCAGGTGATGTCTCCAAGGTGACAATGCTGTGACTTGCCTCCCTAACATCCAAAGGTAATCGAGCAAAACTGAAGAACATTAAAGTAACCTAACAACCTACAATTACCACTCTGAGCAGCTACATTCCACAGATCATTCAACCATGGTTCCCGTTTCTTCCAAAGATCATGTTCCATGGATCAACTATTTGTGTCCACCCTTATAATCTTCCAAACATTCTTAGATCCTTAAACTAGCTCTTCTTTTACGAGTAAAGCTATGCAGCATTAACAGTGTTTGATGGAATTTTATCCCATACATCCATTATTTTGAAGGGAGGAGTGGGGAGTGCTTTTAATGTCTTGTCTCACTTGGGGCTTGTTAATTTGGTGCACTTTGAATCAGACTAGAGTTATAAACCACTAGAGCAACGCTTAAAAAAAATCTGCTCTGCTTTGAGGAAATCTCTTGACCAAAAAAATTTAATGCATTCATCTCATCCACAAAATACAGTCAATTTCATCTTACAGTTTATCCTGTGAAGCACTTTGAAACGTCTCAACGACATGATAGGGTGCTATATCAAATGCAAAGATTATTATTGTGATTATTATCTCACTACAGCTTGGGAACGGGAAGAACAGGTGATTGTGTATAAGCAATGTTCTTGGTGTTCTGTGTAACATACTCTGATTCATGCACAGCACCATGCTGAAGGACGGGGACTCCTCTATACTGTACCTCATCAGTGTCGGGAGACTCGCTGTGTAATAGATCAGTACTGGAGGACTCTCCAGTGGGTGGTTGCCAAGTATCATAATACATGATGACACTTCCTCGAGATCACTACTCCTTGATCTGGGAGTGTTTGTCGTGCAATTGAGTGAACCCTGAGAACTAGATTCAAAACATGTCACAAAGACTGTTGGTTCAGTGGTTTTATTCCCCCCACCTCCAATACTGAAGCTCAGCTGTAGAATTTGATAAAATTCTAAATTTTAGTAGGGGTGCAATTTGTGACTGTAACTTCTCAGAGCAAACTTCTAAAATCCCATCGGTGTCTCCCAGTATCACCTATCCAGTCACCTTGCAAGCAGTGTACCAGAAACTGATACCTCATTCAACTCCTCCCAATACTTGAGACAGATTTGATTATTCAGTAACTGGCTGGCCAATGCACTTTGGGTTTGTTACCTCCGTTGTCAAACATATCAGATAGGAAAAGATCAAAGTCCCCTGACATCACAGCAGGAAGCTTGAGGCATTAATCAATCCACTGAACATGACCTGCCCACAATTGACAAGAAATTCAAGTATAATTGAAACATCTCATGAGGGGGAAAAGTACAATAAATGAGAAAATCCTCTTCCAAAAACAATGGCATTTATCAGATTTATTGTCAATAGAACACCATTTTGTTACTTTTAAAAACATATTCAGCTGCCAAATTGACCTGAACCATGGTAGAAAATAGCAGATTGAACAGATCAAAAAAATGAACTTTTGAAGCATGACTGTAGAGACACAAGGTTGCTCCTCTGCCTGGAGGCATTGAGATTTTTTGGGAGAAATCTCTTCTTAGTCCTTCACATCCTGAGTAACAGAATACAAGTATAAACAATCCTCATATTTAATACAGCACTTCTATTGTTTAAGGTCTTGAAGGCCTTCACAGGGAATTGCTATAAGTGTGGTGACTGTGTAGTGGTAGGCAAACACAGCAGCCAATTTGTGAAAAACAAGATTCTAAAAACAGCCATGAGTTTATCTGGAGGATTGTTGGCTAGGACACCAGAATAGTGTCACGGGATCTGTCTACCTGAAAAGATGAATGGCACTTTGTTTTCTTGTCTCATCCAAATGATGCCACCTCCTGCAGAGTACTGGAGTGTCAGCCTGGACTGTGGGCTCAAGCCCTGATTTAGGACTTCAAATCTACAAACATGTGATACAGAGGCAAGCATGCTCAACCCACTGAGCCAGGCTGATACACTTAGTGTCCTCTATAAGGTCTCCGAGGCCAACCTTAGAGCATTAGCAAACAGTTTTCCATTTGCCCTGTAAGACTAGGGAGGTGCCTGGTATTTGTGGACATGAGTAAGTAATATGGAAGAAAAATCTCTCTTTACAAAGAACACAATATGTTACCAAAGTGGGAAAGGGAAATATAAATAACTTTTTAATTGTTTGAACATCCCGTTTGTCCCTGGAACAATCTCCACAGGATTGTGGAGTCCTGTAGCTCAGTGGTTAGAGTACTCGCTTTGCAAGCGAGAGACCTGAGTTCAATTCCAGGCAGAGGGCGAAACCTTGGGCAAGTTTCCTTACTCCACACAGAGCCTAATAATAATCCCTCCAAAAACAATAATAAATTGGTCATTTTCAATCTACGACTGTTTTTTGTGGGACATTGCTGTGCGCAATTGGCTGCCGCGTTCGCCCGCAAATATACAGTCAATTCACCTTACAGTATATTCTGTAAAGCGCTTTGGGACGTCCTCCCGACGTGAAAAGCGCTATATCAAATGCAAGGATTATTATTATTATTATTCTTGAAGGTAAGGTTTAATTGACTGGGCAGTGTTAAAACACTGGGCAGTGTTAAAAAAACACACTGAAAGTAGTTTAACTGTTTAAAAAAAAAGGCCACTTTTTTATTTGTCGGAATGCACAGTGTATAGTGTTTATAATAATAATAATAATAATCCTTGCATTTGATATAGCGCTTTTCACGTCGGGAGGACATCCCAAAGCGCTTCACAGAACACACTGTAAAGTGAATTGACTGTATATTTGTGGGCGAACGCGGCAGCCAATTGCGCACAGCAATGTCCCACAAACAGTCGTAGATTGAAAATGACCAATTTTTATTATTGTTTTGTTTTTTTGGAGGGATTGTTATTAGGCTCTGTGTGGAGTAAGGAAACTTGCCCAAGGTTTTGCCCTGCCTGAGCGAGCCGGAGAGTGAAAGTTCTGGAGCGTTCACTATCTGTGCGGTGCAGGTCTGATGCAATGTGAATTGTGCAGTTTGACAGGTCACAGCAGAATGTACTAGCCCAGATAGTTAGCGTATCGCTGCCCGACGTCTGTGGTTAACCAGCGTGTCCAGGTCTGCGCTCTGATTACCAAACTTTTACTCAGGAATGTGAGGCCCTAAGAATTTGAGACACCCACTTTTGCTTAAGGTGGAACTCACTCACTCACCACCAACGTGTCACCATCTGTCTCCAATACCCCATTTGAACTGGCTTTTTTTTGAGTGCTTGCAAATACTGTAATTTGTGCCGCTCTCGCACAATGATTGCCTCATGTGAGCATGTACGGCCGCTGGAATTGGCTGTGGCTGATGCCCAAAACTGCATTGTCATGTTAAAGAGATTTAGAACGTGCCCCAAAACAGAGGGCTTTAATTCTTAGAGAGACACTCAGCAGTAATTCGTCAACTTTCACAATTTCCCCTCCTTTTCCACTCCCCCACCCCTTTCCTGGAAGCACAGGGAAGCTATTCAGTTAGCAATGACTATTTCCAGTATACAGTATTATCAAAGTGACCATTACACACATGTGTATCAAAAGAACAAGCTTGCATTATTTTAGGATCTTTTCACGTTATGTCTTGTCAGATGTGGTGATTGTTTCTGTAAGCAGCTAACCTTGCTGATAATGATTGTAGACAAGGAACCCACACAGTTCTTCTCACTGACCTCAAATATAAACTGAGCGACATGGCCCAGCTGAGATCAGCCAACATAGTACAACTTCAAACCCCTCTGGTGTGTATAGCTCAGTCCTACAACCAAGGGAAGATTATGTCAGCCATTGAGAGAGAGAAGAAAAGCCCACAAGAGGTATGCCTCGTTCTTTTTGGTTTCAAACAACATTCTTTCCATACCATTGACATAGACACCCACAATTGTGTAAGGGAATTAATGATGTTAATGTGCATTATGTTATCCCACCATGGTTTCTGGATAACACAAACGAAAATCAAGAGGAACAAGCACTTCAGAACAAGCAACGGCATCCCGTTGAGGAATTGGACTGCCCTCCATTGACAAGAACTTGCATTTACACAGTGCCCTTCATGTAGGATGTTTCAAAATTCTTCACAGGTTTGGAGAAACATTCTGAGCAAGGGAGAGCATGACCTTGACCAAAACCAACTCTAACACTTGATTGGGTGGGGGAGGAGGACAGTTCTACCTGCCAGGATTTGTTAAGTGTTAAAGAGTTACTTTTGGGAACTCCACTGTGGAAGTAAATGATAATAATAATTCTGGCATTTGATACAGTGCCTTATCACGTCTTCAAGACGTCTCAAAGTGCTTCATAAAACATACTGTAAAGTGTAGAGACTGTATTTTGTGGGAGAAATACAGTAGCCAATGATGTTGGAATGAGATGGGATTCCCTTAGCTCAGCCTGTGGCCCTGTCACAGGAGGTCAAACATGCAGGTAGAACTGGGAGAGAAGCAGGAGGGTCATGGGAGGGGGGAGGTCATGGGAGGGGGGAAGACACTGACTGACTCCAGCTTTTACACCAACACAGACAAGTTTGGACTGGGATTGGAACTGACTGACGGCGGAGTGATTCCTTGGTACCGAATGAATGGGGAACAATTGAAGTTTGTCTCAAAACCCTCCAGGGTTTTCCCCCATTCCCCCTTTCTGAAACCTTACAACCCACATAAGTGCAAGTTGTTATTGTTGTTTCAGGGCACAGGGACCGTTCATCAGACCCAGGCTCCCCCTCCTTCCTTCCCTCCCTCTCCTCGCTCCCCCCCTCCTTCCTTCCTTTCTCCCCCCCCTCTCCCTCCCTCCCCACCTCTCCCTCCCCCTCCTCCCTCCCTCTCCCCCCCACCCTCTCCCTCCTTTCCCCCTCCCTCTCCCTCGTTCCCTCTCCCTCCTTCCCCCCTCCCTCTCCCCCCCACCCTCTCCCTCCTTCCCCCCTCCCTCTCCCCCCCACCCTCTCCCTCCTTCCCTCTCCCTCCTTCCCCCCCACCCTCTCCCTCCTTCCCCCCCCACCCTCTCCCTCCTTCCGCCCTCCCTCTCCCCCCTCCCTCTCCCCCCCACCCTCTCCCCCCCACCCTCTCCCTCCTTCCCCCCCCTCCCTCCCTCTCCCCCCCACCCTCTCCCTCCTTCCCCCCTCCCTCTCCCCCCCACCCTCTCCCTCCTTCCCCCCCCTCCCCCCCACTCCCTCCTTCCCTCTCCCTCCTTCCCCCTCCCTCTTCCTCCGTCTCCCCCCTCCCCCTCCTTCCCCCCTTTCCCTCCTCCCCCTCCTGCCTCTCCCTCCCTCCCTCCCCCCCTCAGTGTGAGCTCACACGCCGGCCCCCGCTCCACCTTAACCGCCCAGATGTGGGCCGCCACCTGACTGGGGCTGCGCCGCCATTTTGTTTGTCAGTGCCCGAGAAAGCGGAAGAGACGGGGCGGGCGGTATAAAGCCCGAGAGCGCGAGCGCGAGCGGCTCGGGCAGCGCACACCTCACACCTCACAGCCGCCGCCGCTCCGCCAGGCCCCGCGTCACCGCCCCGCCTCGCCTCGGCCCGGCCCCGGCCCCGCCGTGTCGAATGGTCCGGCCGGTTCCAGAAGCTTCCGATGTTTGCTCCCTGTGAGGGCGGGGGGGAGAGCAACGGTTTTTCTCCGGCGGTTGGTCTCGCGCCCGAGCGTTCGGTTTAAGCCGCCGCCGCCGCCCCGACTCCTCTCCTCACGGAGGCGTCTCCTTCACACATCGCTCCTCACGGGCTCGGGCTGATTTAGCTCTGAGGGGGGGGACCAGGGCTCGTTTCCTTTTTATTTTACCCCCTCCTCCTCCTCCTCTCTCTCCCCCTCTCCTCTCCTCTCCCCTCTCCGCCTGTCGCCCGCTCCCTTCCCTTCTCTCCCTCCCGCCCGCCCGCCCGCCTGAGGGATCATGTCGGGTCAGTCGATCACGGACCGGATCACCGCGGCCCAGCACAGCGTCACCGGCTCAGCCATCACCAAGGCGGCCTGTAAAGCCACCACCCACGAGGTGATGGGCCCCAAGAAGAAGCACCTGGACTGTGAGTACTGTACAGGGAGGCGATGGGGAAGGGGGGTCTGAGTGGGGTATAAAGGGGGGATCTGAGTGGGGTATAAAGGGGGAGGGTAAAGTGGGGTATGGGGGGGAGGTGTGAGTGGAGGTATGGGGAGGGGGGGGGAAGAGGGTAACAACCACAACAACTTGCATTTATATAGCGCCCTTCAAGCCGGGGTAGAGTCTCGGAGCAGTTAACAGTAGTGGAGCCTGACTTTGAGTGGGGTATGGAGGTGGGGAGGGGGGTGTGTGAGGGGATGGAGGGGGGGGGTGGTATGGGGGGGGGGCGGTGATGATGGTATGAGTGGGATGAGGAAGGTGAGTTAGGCACAGCGGGGAGGAAGCTGACCCAATATGTGTTCTATGCTGTCACAAGAGGAAGTGATTCAGTTTGGACTGAAAGTGGAATGGTACTAAACTAACTGTATGAGCGATCCCCAGGTGTGGAGTGAATGGGAACAAATGAACCTTGTTTCAGGTCTGTTTGACAGACCTTGGGTTCTGCCCTATGTGTCACTTCCCTGGTCTGTGATAGGGGGGGGGGGAATTAATTCCTGGCATTCCAACTGGATTTGTAAGATGGGGGAAAGAGTGTAAAAAGTGTGTCCAACCTGCAGGTTATTAGCCCTGTTTGTGGAAGTGAGTGGTGTGGTGGTGGATGTACAGCACTTGGTTGTACATACTCCTGAGAATGGCCCACAAATAAAAAGTAGTGAACTCTGTGCATAACCTGGAAACGGCCTTTGGAGGAGGAAAAGATAGATGAAGCAGAGGTTGACACACATAAATCCCATACCTGTGAACAATAAGGGGTTGATTAAACTAACACTCACACCCTGGCAAGTGAAGAGGTATGCACAAAGGTTATGTTAATTTGTTTCAAAAAGCAGACAGAATACTGGGTACAGGCCTGCCTCACTCAGTTAATGGAGAGAGAGCCGTCAACTGTCCCCGCCCTTGAGTCAGAGATAAAGTGTAGGCAACCTACGAGTGTGTCAAGGGCATATTTGAATGAGGAGTGAGTGACATTTAAGCAGGAGGATAGAATCTCCATTTAAATACCGTAGGTAGAGCTGTCTGTTTTCAGTGAAATTATCTGTTTTATTTAAGGTCAACGTGAGTTATTTGCCAAATAGTGACTTTAAGCTACTATAATGGGAGGAACTTATTTTCCTGTTACAGCAGGGAAAACTACTCAATTTACATCAGAAGTATTTACTCCACCAATTTATTTCATAGTAATTTGTTAAATATCTGCTTTCAGTGAATGGATGTAGTCAATGCACTGTAAACATTTATTTAAAAATATATTCCTTCCAAGAATAAAAATTATAGTAATTCTGATCACTTCACCACTACAAAATTCAAGTGTATCCTGGTATGCATAGGATATTGAAAGGAGTGGAATTCAAGGGTGTAACTGAATTGAGGGATCAGAATGATGTTGGGTAAGCGTAATTACAGTGGATTGTTAGTCACCTGAAGCCTAAGATTGGGTCACTGTGTAATCTTAGCTGCCTGTCAATTTCATGCAGAGTTTTTCAGTTTAGGTACTAGGTACAAACGATGTAGTAAATTTTATTCTCGACCAAATCCTCTGACTTCAGAAGTGCCAATTGAATTGGTAGCACTACTTGAGGATATTGGGTTAGTAATAGGAGTACTTTAGTGAAGTATAATGCAGCCTTACACATTCCCACATTGTACATGACTTATTTTATGCTGTTTTATTTCCTGAAGTCTCAAAGATATGTATACTTTTGAAGGTTCCATGATAGAAATTCTTGTAACTTCTGGAATCTCCAATTACCCCAACATAGACTCTAGAGTCTCCCATGGCATGGAATGATACTCTTGATTGGGTAAGCAGGGTGCCTCTTTCCAGGGAGAAAGTGCACTTCTGCATTCCAGAAATGGAGAAAATTCCATGTGTAGGGACATTCTTATGTGAAGCTTTGTCTGGTTTGGATACTTTTAAGTTTGGTGATGCTTTTTCACATGTCTGACCAAAAACATTTTTTGATACATATTAAGTATTTTTGTATGACATTCAGATTCTTTCGTTTATTTTTCACCTAGTTAACTACAACTGCTTCTTTATCTACTAGGCCCGTTTTCCTTGGAGTGACGAATATGTTTGACGTATGTCAAACAATTTTATCATGATAGAAGTAACGATTCATAGGGACTCATTTGTTGAAATTGTTTTTCAGAATGTGAGTTAAGGTTTTTGTTTCATAAATTGAAGCCATTTCAAAGTGAGTCAGTTATGATCGGTACCAATACACTCATTTATATTTAATATATATATAAATATATATATTTAAACTTGCATTTTATTTTTAATGTGTTTAGATTTTATTCAGAAGTTCTGTATTTATCATGTACATTCCATTATCAGACATTATTATCGTCTTAAAACTCTGAAAAAATCCTATAATTTGTCACAATAATAAACTATACTACCCTGCGGAACAGTTTCCCACCAAAGGGGGTAATAGCCAGATTTGTCAGTCTCCTTCGTTCATAGACTGGGTGCACGCTTTACTGAGGTGAATTTCTATAGCTACGTTTCTTGGCCCCATATTCTTAACTTTGTACCTTCTAGTTTCTAGTGCATGGTCTGAAGTCTTTTTGAGGTTAGAATTCTGAGCTCACAAAAAAATTGTAACTGAAATCCAGAAGGAAACCATGAGTGAGGATTATGTTGCTCAGAAATTATATTGATCAGAGTACCCTGCGTTCTGCTCTCTGACTACAGTACTGAACCTGGTTCCTTGTTTGTGTTTTAAAGAGCTTTAAGAATGATTTCCCTCATATTCAATGTTACATTTCAACCTATGTTAATGCTTCAAAAATAATTAGTCTGTGATTGGTCAGTTGCAGAAAATCTACTTAATGAGACTACGAAGAGCTAACTCAGGTCAGAAATTAATGCAGAGTATATTTTGTAACAATTTTGCTACGGTGAAAGTAATTATTTGTAGGGATGTGCCCCTGGTTTCTCGTGTAACAATAATAAAATAATAATAATCCTTGCATTTGATATAGCGCTTTTTATGTCTTCTAAACGTCCCAAAGCGCTTCACAGAATATATTGTAAAGTGAATTGACTGTATATTTGTGGGCGAACGCGGCGACCAATTGCGCACAGCAACGTCTGTCCCACAAACAGCCGTGGATTGAAATGACCAATTTATTATTGTTTTGGGTTTTGGAGGGACTATTATTAGGCTCTGTGTGGAGTAAGGAAACTTGCCCAAGGTTTCGCCCTCTGCCTGGAATTGAACTCGGGTCTCTCGCTTGCAAAGTGAGTACTCTAAGCACTGAGCTACAGGACTCCACAAAATACTATGTTCTTCTGATAACATTCTGCTTGGTAGAATAATTTGTTAATAATCGGTGATGGACATCTGGTCCAAGTTTAAAAATAAGCCGTTGTTTCTCATGCGACACACAAGGTTTCATCACACCATGGAGCATGATCGCACACTTTACAGAATATCCTGTGAAGCGCTTTGAGATGTCTTAACAACTTGATAAGGTGATGTATCAAATGCAAGGATTATTATTAATGTAGCTGGATGCCTTCTTAATTTATATATTTTTCCTTGATTTCATGAGCATAGGATGCTCATGTTCATAGTGACCTCCATTGTACAGCTTGTGAGAAAACAAAGTAGTAAAGTAGGTTCTTCAGGTGTGTATTACAAATTGGTTTAACACAACAAGCTGTAAAGGTATCAAAAGTGATGACCTGCTTCGCCTGTGTACGTAACGTTGAATGAAGCTTTTCCAGTCGGGCAGTGGTCTGATAAATGAAAGTTGTTGTTAAGTCTCCCCTTTGTAGAGGCTGTTCTTTTTTTACACACAAGCCAATATTGAACATTTGGCCTGTTAAGAATTTATCTGGACTGGGCTATCCAATCTATCTGAGTTGGCAAAAGTGTTTTTGTTGGATTGTAAAATCAGTGCAACGTTTTATTTATGATGTTCCCAACAATGCAGTCTGTTTTTGTCTTATTTCATTTGACAGTGATTTGAGCTTCATTCTAGTTGGAATTATTCCATTTTCCCACTTCTCAGGAGTACAGAGTAGAGTCCTATCAGCCTGGGGAAAGTGTGGGTTGGAGGAAGGATGACCAATATGTGAATGTGGAAAATCTGTGCTGTACAACCTGCTGCTAGCAGTTTTCCTGAAACTATTGCCATTTACTAGCTGCTCTACTAAAAAAAAATCCTTTTTCTTTTAGATTCCCTCATTTTTCTCATCTACTTAACTGCAATTGCTTTTTTTTAAATACTTTTGCACCTAGCACCAGTTGGTGACACTTTCGTATCAGTGGGAAATTATGTGCTGTGGTTATTTTACCGGTCTTTGAAATGAAAGCTCCAGAATTGCTGGAATGAAGATTGTGACAGGATGCTAACATTTCTCTCTGTAGTTTTGTGTTTGAAGTGGTTTGTGATTTAAAAAAAAACTACCAGAGAAGCTCATTATCTTTAAGAACACTACAAGTGCAAATACTGTACTAAGAATGTATTTAAGGTTCATTGGACCAATTCTTTTCCATCTACTAGTATTGAAAAATGTACAAGTATGATCAGACAAACAAACATTTCAAACTGAATTGGAGCAACCTGCTCAGTTAATGCTGGGTATCATGCTTATCGCGTATCCCCCGCCCTTTGCTTTATTACCAACAAAACATCTTGCAGATGAGCTGCAAAGAGTTGAACCACAGTTCCTGTATACTAGTGGCATTGTAGTCACAGTATCAAATCCTGTGGTTAAACATTTAAATGCTCTAGTGTGTGGTTTTTGTTGTGATCTACTAGTACAAAAAGTGTAGGAATATGAGCAGATTTCTCCTGCTTCTGAAATGACCTACACCATCCGCAGTATCACGTTCAGTGTGCAGATGCTGTGAGTGAGACACTGCATTGAAAATATTCAAATTGAATACACATTTCTCTCTTAATAGT